CCTGTCTTCCAGCCCTTGAACGACTTGCCATGGACACCATGATCTTCATTGGTGATTTCAGAACCGAGACCGTGCTCAGCAGTTGTCAGCACAGGACAGGGGTCCGGTCCGCTCTGTAGCTATGTATATAATCTAAAACGAAACAATGCCTTACTAGTTGGGTTCTGATCTCTTCTGGTTTTTAACCTCGAAGGGTGTGCCACTATTTCATACTGTTTAGTACAGTGAGTGTACAAGCTAGCCAAGTAACAGTTGAAATAACATTGATAATCCGGAAAAATTGACCAAAGCATGGCAAAGCGTTTTAAGCATCGCCTCTTCTCGACGCCGTCCAAAACAGGCTCCAAGACCTTTGAGGGTGAGAAGGCTTCAATAGGCTGGTGTGATTCTTCCAACGTGCATGCAACAAGCTCCAAGCAAAGCAACCATGGAAGCAATGGCAAGGCCTCCACGCTGGCTATGCATGGCTGTACTGTTGAAAACACAAAGCAAAGCAGCTGCTGTTGGAAAGCTGTTCTGTGCTCTGTATGGTGATCTGCCTGCCGCAGCATGTCGGGGCATCTCTGTAAGAGTCCTAGTCTGCAGAAAGGGATCATATATCATTCATAGACATATATTAGAATCCTGCTTCATCTGATGCATGATGCTACATGGGACAAAAATGGATCAACACACGTGGTACACATTACAAATCCTCCGATATTATTTCCGGAGAAATCAATGCCATATGATTTCGTAGCAAACATCCTCGCTTTCAGCCCTAGCCCTGATCTCCTTTCAGCAGCCTCCGGCCATTTCTCCTAGGCTTCTTCTGCAGTTCCTCTTCGAACAAGTGAGGCACATAGGGACATTGTTGCAGTGAATCTACTTGCAATTGCACCACCCGAGCTGTCCTCCTCCAGCACCACCACTGGCAGCAGGTCCATCCTTGCTAAGTTGGTGAGCACGTTTTCATTGTTTGTCCCTCCCCATGTGTATGTTTATCCCAATTTATCCCGCATGGTACCCCGGCTGGCGAATCCTGGATTACAGCATTGCTGCTAAGGCAGGAGCTAAAGCGTAGCTTGCAACTTCGAGCGGGTCATGGCTGATGCAAACTCGCGAATGACACCATTGTTTGGTTTGAAGTGACCGAGCTCGTATCCTCACCATGCAAGTCTACTAAAAACAAATGGCTGCCTGCGACGTCAGTGCAATGCACTTGCGTAGACGTAGCAAGCCAATGCACTGACCTTCTTCCCCCTTGATTCATTTTGCAGGTTTCTGGCTAGTCTTAGAAGGGGTTAGTCAAGAGGGCTTGCAGAATGAATGCCCACGGGCTTTGGATCAACTCGGACAAACAAGCTTTGTCACCAATCTCACTGTGTTCAATTGCTCAAGCAGTAGAAGCTAAAAAGTTGTTCACTCTTTCCTCACACCACGCTATGGGCTAGAGTCGTGGTCCAGCAATTGGCGCGCCAGCTTTTGTTCTGACCTTGCGAAGCATCTCGGCATCTTGAAATAAGCGAGATTCATGCTAGAAACAATGTTCGCTACTAGGGGCTCCTGGCATCGCTACTAGGCTACTAGGAGCAAGGACGCTTCTAGGGGCTCCTGGCCTTACGTACTACTAGGAGCAAGGACGCTACTAGGAACAAAGACGACAAGCACTTTCTAGGCCCTGGGCACAGTATGCAGGTGATGAATCAACGGCACCTTCCTGGAAGCTGCGACGAAATGCCCATTGATAACAATTCACTTTGTATCACAAACATGTTTAATTGATTCGACACCTGCCCTGCCAGAAACGATCGCAGTTGTCGCGGACAGCCACCAATTTGTGCCTTTGACCTGAGAAGAAGTAGTGGATGCCCTGCCTCTGAAGACTGCACTATGCTGTCAAGCTATTCTTCACACAATGCAGCAGGGTTGCAGTACTCCCTGGCTTGCCTCGCGTCCTAACAAAATGGAACTGATCGACTCCTTGAAGATCAGTCTGGGTTTGCTTAAAATGGTGTGAGGGGTCAAGTGAGTATCAAAGCTGTCACATGCTGACCAGACTGCCTGGAAATGGCTCATCTGTGCGAGCTCCTGCATCAAGGCAGACCGAGCAACAACAACTGGGTCCATGACAAGCATGCCACTTACTGTACGTCAAAATAAGAAGCTGATCTCGTGCTACACTACCATGCATATATATATATATCACCTTGGGAAAAGAAATATAAACATCCATTCAAAACAAACATACTGATTGTTTGTCCGGCACCTTAATGGCCTGGAGGGCACCATCCTCCTTTTCTCCATCAATGGGATTTAAATGTAGCTCCCAGCAACCCAGTGGGAAGTCCTGCACAAACTCATGGTACCACCATCACTTGACTTGGCAATGACATAATGAGAAGTGGTACTGATGCTAGGCTTGCTCATCTTCTTACAGTCATGATTCCGTTCTGAAGCAGCTTTCACTTCTGCTTACCCCTCACTTCCCATCCTGCTGGTTGCCATTCTTTGATCCAGCCCCACATCCAGCGCTGCCGGGAGCACCCACAGTTACGTTAAAGAACTTTGGCAGGATCACCTTTGCCTCAGTGCATGCTATAATTATCTATAATTACTCGGCCAGTGTGCTTTGGACTCTGGACGCAATCTTAAGGCTGCCACTAAGACTGGATAGACCACATCTTGGGAACAGCTTTGAGGCCACTCTGCCTCATTCTCCATGAACCTGGGCAAAGAGTTGCAATTGCAAGCTTGGTACATCTTGGTACCACTCAAGCCTAGCCGAAACATCAGTCAGCAGAACAGCAGAAAGCTTGGACTCCAAACATTACAAGTCGCACATACTTGTGGGCACTCAGCTTTGGGTCTCATGTCTAATCGCCTTTGTTTGTCTTTGTCCATATTCAGGGTCTTCTGGACTGTGCTGGCAAATGTGTTTCGAGATGTTCAAGGCATTTTGTGTCTTGAGGGCCGCACATGGGGCAGCCTGCTGCCACAGCTTGCTCGCCTGGCCCACTTGGCAAAGCAATTCGACCTGCATTCGAAAGCCAGAAGTAGTTCGCTTCTGCCATGTTCACAATGTTTTGTTTGAATTTCTGTCTCAACCAACTCTTCTCTCTCAGTGCCCTGTTTGGCGCCAAGCTTGTTCGCCACTGGTTTCCGCTCGGGCTCCCACCCAGCACATTCCATTGGCTTTTCACAGCCAGAAGCATCTTTCTATTGAAGACCTGGCATTCGCGATCTGCTCGCGGTTAAAGGACTTTGTCTGCACTCTCTGCAAGAGTTTGATTGGACAAGATTCTAGTCTTTAAACATTGAGGAAGTGCAAAGGCGTTGCCCCACATCAGCATGATGGGGCCATCTACACTGGCCTCCCGGAAATCCAAAACGTGGAAAAGCTCCACCTACTTCGTCTCGCCGGTGTTTCAAGAAATATTTACTATACAGTTCAATATTTATGGTTTCCTTTGAGTGCTGAACAACTCTGGTGTCCGCAGGTATTGGATGTGCTTGTTGAAGTTCTTCAACCAAGTTGAAGTGCAAAACTACTTTATGCCCACTTGGTGTTGTTTGCCACACAATGGCCACACCTGCTCTTCAGGTGTTCCTTCTCGCAAACCCTTGAGGTAAGCAAGGATAGTTTCCTTTGCTCTGGCCTCAAAGATTTGGCGCATAATGAGAAGCTGTCACAAAACAAAAGACAAAGCAAACATCACTTGCACCACATCGGCTAACTTTCCAAAAGACAAGAACTGGAATTCTGGCGGGGCTGAGGAAGTGATCCAGCTCGCTGTTGATGAACCAGTCATGCTGGTGCACAAAGTCCGAATCTGCAAAAAGTGCCGCGGAAAACAGCAAAATATGGTAAATCTAAGGTTGTATAGGCTGTATAGGGCTGTCAAAATCGCTCCAAAGTTTTGCACCGTATTGCTTTTTAGTCGGCCAGGCCACGCAGGAGATGATTCCAGGATGGCATCAGCCCAACCATGTTCCTGACAGCACAGCAGGGCCAGAATCAGAGTGTTCAGGGGGGAGAGTAGCTGAGTACCAGGTATTGTCTACCACCTGTGACCAGATCATTTGTGAACACAAAAGAAAGCACACTCCTGTGGTAAAGCCAGCCGTCATCTTTGCGTGTCACACTCTGTTTTGGAACAATGACCCGCATGAAGTCTGCCTCCTGTGCAGCCAGTGCCATACCTTTCGATCAAGGAACACTTGACTCATGCCTTCCGAGACTGGCTTGCATGTCAGTTGACCCTCTGTCCTTTTGTGGCCCTGGGGCAGCATGATCTGTGTAGAAGATGTGCCCGTCACACTTGCGGTACCTGGCTGTGCGCTCAAGCTGGTTGTATAGTGGACATGCTGTAGGTAAACCAGCTAAAGCCCTGCTGTACGAAAAGCATGTATTCACTACACACAAAGAAAAAAATAAATCATGCTTCAATTGGCGTCGTTCTTGAAGCCTTGAGTAGCACTTGATGGGTTTAGTCACGTTAAGTCCATTTGTTACGGCGATGGTGCTTAAGCAACCTTGTTTACATCCTCCCCAAACTGCTCAACACCCTTTGCAGGCACTCAACAGCATCCAAGTTGCTGCTTTCGAGTCTCACCCAAGAGTTGCTCGTCATAGTCCCGTCGTGGTGTCCAAGCGAAGCAGAATAGTGAGAGATGCTCCTCAAGTTCAAGAGCTGCTTCACACTAGAACTTCAAGGAACATACCCGCTGAACAGGTGCCACACAAGACTCTCCAGACAGCGAGAAAACGAGATGCACAAACGGAGCCTTCTCTTCCCTTGCTGTCTTGGCCCTTGCATCCTACAGAAAGAATACAAGGCTGCTGGGCTTTCAACTTGAATACATGAAGCACCTCCATAGAGCGGCTGAAAACCTTCGAAAGGCCCTGGACCTGCTAAAGAAATCGCACAAAACCACAACGACACCACAAATCACAAAGCAAAAAATAATGACACAATAATGTGTATCGAATTGCATCAAGGCATTCTTCTCGAGTGTTTTGCTGCGACTTGCGTCTTCTTGCTTTAGCGTGCCGCATGAACCATTTCGGCTACTGGTGGCATTGCTGACACTGTACATGCCTAAAACTACTGTTGCGAATCAATAGAAGCACTTTGAAGCACTTTGAAGCATCCAAGTCAGGCAGAGAGGACTCATCTTGGCCCACAAGCTGGGTGAGGATTGTGACATCTCGCACATCACTCACCAAGACATCGAGACCAACAGGCTCACAGGGCTCCAAGCGCAGTTCTCTGTCCAAAGGGGATGTAGGAGAGCCTGAGGCATTGTTTCATTTTTGTCGAAGATTTTGTCGATTAGGTTCTCCCAAGGTTGCACGTGTTTGCAGAATGATGTTTTGCAAATATCCTGCCCCAAAGCTTGACTGGTCCTTGCAAAAATTGCAGCCAGGTCGCGTGTACCAAATCTCAGTTCAGGGGAAACACATTCGTGCATTTCACATCTCTTTGTTTGCGACCACATTATTGATACCGATATCCAACACTGGACACTGATGTGGAGAAGTATTTTGCACGTTCCATACTTGGCAGGTCAAATTTCTGAACACCCCTCGTCGGTTTCAAACTCTTCTCGAATGCAAAGGTGCTAAGGCAGCCCACTGCACAAGCACCAGCAGCAGAAGAATCAATGTACGGCCATGCCATTTTCCAGGCGAAAGAGCTACCTGATGTGCTTCAAGTCTTGCCGTCTGGCCATTCAAGATTCATTGGCAAAGGAACAACAAAACAAGGGAAATCAACAAGCTGCAAGAAGAGTCAGGACCATTGAGACCACAAAGCAAAGTGATGCAATCCAACGCTTTTCACGCCCCATACGGCGCAATTGCCTGATCATAGAAGTACAGCAGCCACTGCATGATCACTACATGTCACTGAGTTGCATGCTGTAAGTGTTCCACGCGCCTTCTCGGCCCAGCAAGGAAAAGGGTGCCAACCAATGCAAGCAAATTCCCTAGGGTGTAGAGCTCTGCAAAGCCTTGAGCAAATTACAAAAAGCAAAAAAATGAACAAAGTGAGTATGGCATTGTAATTAGAAAAGCCAAACACATGCTCTTTTCCTGAGTTGATATTCTTGGTCACTCTGAAGATCGATTCTAGAAACCAAGTCCACCGCCAAGCTTCGCTCTGCGGCCGGCTCTCCACCAATCAAAGCGTGAATGCCACGCCCAAACCCGCTGAATTCCAGAAGAACACCCAGCCCAAAGCCTTGAAGAGAGAATGATGAGAGACTGTTTGGAGAGTCGATTGGATTCAACTAAAAAGACGCAAAAAAAAAAAACACACCAACTAGCCAGCCATACCAATTTAGTCGTTTGATGTTACTTGCTTCCTTTGAGCTGAAGAAGACATGGGCAGAAACACAGAAAAACTGCTGGCCAAACCACATACAAGCCAGCCAATGATGCGTTGCTTCAGAGTCCTTGGTCGGTTGGAACCAAATAAGACAATCACAGCACGGTGCTCTTCATCTCCAAGGCACAAAGAAGGGCACATAACATCTGAATTGTGCATCCATGCCTGCGCTGGCCGTCTATCAAATCAGCTTGTGCACGGACTTCATGGACTGAAAGTGCTAGCATTTTTGAGATCAGCCCCAAACCACAGCCTCCTCTGCTTCGCTTGTGGCATTGCCTGCAAGAACGTTAGTAAGTTGGACCTCCTTGGACCAATTACTCTGCTGGAATTCAAAACTCTAGGAGAACAGAAATGGAATCAAAGAAATCTATATAATAGGAATGGCCTCCAACCTAGAAGCGATGGCCTCCAACCTAATCGCAAAAGGAACCGAACCTCCAATGCCAAGGGAGCGCAAACTGAAGCTACTCGCGCTCCGCTCACTCTGCTCCTGCGTTGCACCTCAGCACAGCAGAACAAATTGTCCAGCTCTTGAAGCCCAGTTCAAGACCTGTCTCGAAAAGGTCCAAAAAAAACACGGCAGGGAGCTCTTCTTGCAAACTTACGGCGGAACATTGTAGCAAATACGTGACCGCCTCTAAAAGGGTTTGAGTCTTGTGATTTTGGCAAGGAGCTTGTGGCAGGCCACCACTGTCTAGAGTGTGACTCTTCCTGTGAGAGTTTGATAGGGTGTAGACAGGAAGATGAACATCACACAATAATTTGGAACAAGAGACAGCAAAATGTATTCCATATGTATCTCTCTCTGACAGCATATACATATATACACACCACGTTCACATATGTCCATACATGGTGTAAATGTATATGTTACATAATTTACTTGTATATATATATATACACATATGCGCATACACAATATAGGTGGTACCACCGCCCTCTGGCGTCTGTACTTTTGGAAATGGACACACTTACTTAGAGAGGAAGGTACCACACATGTATGCATATCAACACATCCATCTGCCAAAAGATGTATAAATATATATGCTACCCCCTCACCCTGTACCTACTTTTAGCCCTTGTTGGCAATGTGGAGTCCAGAAGATGGGTGCATTGCTTGATTCTGTAAGGTTGTGCTCTTTTTGCAAATGATATGACAATGATAGGGTTGTGAAACTTGTGATTGTTTTGCTCTATGTGCAGTTGGTAAGCATATTTGTTCATTTAACTATGTACTACAAAAATGTCCAAATCCATAAGGTTAGGTGTTCACTAAAAAGTTCTTGGATGTAGTAATCTAATTCCATGCAACCCCCATGCAAAACCATATGTGTTGCTTTTGGAGTGTGAATTGTATTGCTCTTATTGAATGCAGTTGAGCAAGTACATCATAATCAGAAGGCAAAGACTTGCAAACCCTAAATAACTAAATTCAAGTTTAATTCTAATTCAATTTAAATTCCAATCTATTCAACTCTACTTTACTTTGTATAGTTAAATTCAAATTTAAGTCTATTTCAATTATTTGTAAATTCTACGTTGATTCAAATGTCTATCACTATAGATTATAATTTACGTGGGATTCAACGCAAGCCTAATTTTAATTTGATTTCAAGCTAATTCTAACTTCATTGCTATACAAGTCAGATTCAATTCTAATAGTGTATTCTTTTTCAATTTAGTTTTAATTTGAGTGAAATTCTTTTTTACTTCTAGAGAAGTGGTGTTACTTTGAACATGAAAGATGTTATGTAGTCTTTCCAATATAGAAGCATGTGCTTTCTTAAATGAATTAAATTCACCCCCAGCAACACCCACTCTCTAGAATGACATCAAAACTGAATTAGAATTCTATGTGCATTGAACTAGAATCAAAATAGGATCAAATTAGACATATAGAAGCCAAAAATAATTTGCAATGACGAGCGAGAAAGACCGTCGCCTTCGTGAACTTCCAGACTGGATCAGGATTCCCATGGGAATGGGTGGCAGGGGGCTAGAACGATTCAAGGAAGGCAAGCAGGTTCCGGAGTGTGTGGCAAAAAACTTCGTGGCCATGGTGGAAAGAGTCACTTGTGGTGGAGCTGAGTCTCCTTTGACGGGTGGGAACTTGGACGTCAAGAACTTGAACAAAGAAGCAGAACGCCTTCTGAAGCTATATTGGGATGCCAAGAAAGAAATCGACCCAGATGCAGAAGTTCCCAAACTTGTAGTGTCAGAAAGGTGGATCCAGCGCCTTTGTCAGAAGAATGGCTGGACCAGAAGAGCTCCGAACACATTTGAGGCATATTTGCCATACGAGGACCAACGTATGGAAAAAAACCGGAAGGCTTTTGCTTACACCCGTCTTAGCCAAGATGTGAGATTGGACCTTTGCCTGAATTTTGACCAAGTGTGGAAGCAGTCTTGGAGTGACCCGAAACGGCTTCTTCTCAAGGTAGCCTCATCAGAAGGGTTGAAAGGAAAAAAGGCACAGGCTGTACAAGAGATCATGGATCTTCAAGAGCGGCTTCGGGGTGGTGGAGAAGGTGATTGGAAGGTGGTGAGAAGAAGAGTCACTGGAAAGGATGCGCGGGCAAACCTGGTGAGGAATTCCCACCACTCGATCACAATCATCACTAGCCTGTGGGGCAATGGGGAGTGTGGGCCATTGACCTGTGTCCTTCCACTGGGCTTCATCTCTGACAATGCCCTGGCCGACCTGAAGAACTGCTTCAGTCCAGAGTGCTATTTTTTGAGTTCTGGACGGTCATCCCACTTTATGAACGCCGAGTCTGTGGTGTTGTACTATGAGAATGTCCTTGCTGAGGCCTTCAACCGGAGACGCACGCTGCTAGCAGAACGCTACGGGAGGTCATTTGAGGCAGAATGGGGGCTAATCCTTTGTGATTCCTTCACTGGCCATCATTCGGGTGGAGCTTCTGATGTTCAGAGATGCTTGGCTGTTTTATGTATAACCTATTCAATTCTGCTTTCCCTAAAGAACTCTTTTTGTCTTGTTGAGAGCCTGGCTGGCTGATCAGCGTCAAGGAGAGGCATTTTCCACTTCGAACCGGGTATTGTTGCCGGACAGGCAGCCTGGCGGCTTGTCAGCCCGAGGACAACCGGCAAATGCAATTCATGCCCTGCTGAGGAAGTACATGGCGTTCTACAACGAGTCCTCGCTAGGCTATCGCTCGGGACTTCTGGAACAAGCATCTTCAACCCCACTGCTGCTTTCTAGTGGAAACCCGTACCACCACCTTTCCCACGAGGATTGCATTATATATCTCAGCCATTTACGGGTGGAAGAGGTTGGCCAAATGCAGATCGGTTTTGAGGCCAGGTTTGAAAGAGTTCCAAAGTTATTTATATATACGTATCCTTGCAAACCGTAGGGCTTTTGCTGTTCCTTTGGTGGCCATGTAAGGGGTGCAGTAAGCAGAGTGTAATTCTGCTTACTGCAGTGTTGTGCAACCCCACCGGCAGTTTTCATGAGCCAAATGAACAAACAGTACTGCAGTAAGCAGGAGTGAAATCTGCTTGCTGCATATGTCAGGTGGGCATGGTTGAGCAGAGGCATGTGCACAAAAGAAGAGATGGTTACCTTCAACGGAGACATTGAAATCACCCCAGAGAACCTCACCAAGCAAAGGCTCCTATGGAGGAAGTTTGGACCCAGCCAGACATTTCCAGCACCTCATTTCTATGGCAAATGAAATCAGATGGACAGGATGAAACGGCTGAACAGTGGGAGAAAGAAGAAGAGATCTGGCAATGCCTACCTGCTCACTGGCAGGCTATCCTCAACAACAGGGTTTCATGCAGGCATCCAAGACGCTGAAGTCTTGTATCAGCATAGGTTAGCAGAGTATGGAGAAGCAGATATAAAGACAAAGAATGCGGCTGCGAAGGTTGAGAAAGTGAAGACTGGGCAATTTTCAGAAAGTGCAGTTTTGATATACAAGAAGGCTGGCAAGGAAGTTTCCCCAGATGTGTACAACAAGTCGGTATCAAAGACTCAGCAAGGCATCAAAGTGAACGTGAGCAAGCATGTGGAGGTGTTCATGCTCTCTGTCCAGGACATGACTTTGAAGAGACTTCCTCAGACTGAAGGTGAGGAGGCTGATGTGAAGCAGCTGAGGATTGTCTCTGTCACTGCACGGTCCAGGCAGATTCAGGAACTGCGCCTTCATTTGGACGCACTATCCCTCGCTTCCTCACACGTTCTTGATGGCATCAAGTCGGAGAAGAAGGCCAAGAAGCAAAAGACAGAAGCCAAACAGGCCGGTGGTGTGGGGTATATATTAATACTGTAGATGGACAAATTGCAACTGTTTTAAGTTCTACCCTTATAAATGAATATATATATATATACAGATATAATTTATTTGCAAATATGCAGCAAATGTGCTGCAAATGCAATAAGTAGAAACAAATCTGCTTACTGCAGTCTTGGCTGGGCGGGTAGCGTGGAAAAGTTTGGAAGACAACATGTAAGATTTGAGCCAAACTGCAGTAAACGGAACTATATTTTTCTGCTTACTGCAGGGTGCATTCTGGCCGCCTGGCCAGGAGACGGAAGACCCCGAGCTGGAAGCCCAGCTTGCTATGATTTCTGAGTGCAATGCGGTCGACAAGGGAGCAGAAGAGGACTTGGAGCTAAACATGAAGCCGGAGCAGGAGCAAAACCAGGACCACAATGAGGCAAACCCTGACAAGGAGGATGAGGTTATGGAATTGGAGCATGCAAATCAAGGTGAGAGTGAAGATGAAGAGATTGAGTATGACTTTTCCACGGGGGTGAACTTTGTTTGCGGTGGCCCCTCTGCTGTTTCATCGTCCGATCCGTCACCTCCAATTGCCGTGGCCCCTCCCTCTGCATCGTTCAAGGACATGCCTGCCTTCGTCTTTCTGGAGAAGCTGAATCTGACAGAATTGCCCCACGTGAATGGTGCGGGCATCGGGGTTCATGTGACAATCCAGGCATGGCAGGTCAGATATCCACCAAGTGGCTCCCAGAAAGCTTCTTGTGCGCGCTCGTGGGGCAACCTTTCCAAAAAGGGATTTGTCTCGCAGTGCAAGGCACTTCTTGAATGCTTGTTGTGGGCTTGGGAGAGGCACTTGGCAGAGAACCCTTCCTGCAGTGTCTCCCAGACCAAGGTGGGTATGCTCAAGGGAGCATTGATTGCAGACCTTGGGCGTCACCTTGAGAAGTGAAATTCATGAATTTATAGATGCACGATCTTCTTGTGGGGTGCCGGTGGCTTTTTGTACAAACAATGGGTCCCTTGCATATGGAGCTCTACCTGTGGTTTTTGCTGCAGATCTGCTAGATGTGTATGAATATATAGCGAGAGAGAGAGAGAGAGAATAGAGAGCGAGAGAGAGAGAGAAACAAATAAATGTTCCATATTTTGTGGATGAATGGCACCCCCTTCTGCAGTTGTTTGCAGCTCTTTGGAGGACTTCGAGACGATGGGTGGGGGAAAAAGACAGCCTGTGGAGAACGACCTGCAGTAAGCAGACATGGTTTCTGCTTACTGCAGTGCTGCATTTCTTTTAATTATGCCGGCATAGACCCCAGATAGCACTTCAAGAAAAGTTGGACACCATGGCAAGAGTGGGAGACAAGCTTGGCAGACATCCCACTCAAAGCCGGGAAAAGGATGGAAAAGGTAAACAAGACCTAAATCATCTTATAACAGCACCCGCGTCAAAGGCAGGCAAGA